AGGAACTCCTGGGCCAGGGGTTCGCTGCTGCAGTACTCCGCGTGCTGGTCGAAGTCTCGCTCCTGCACTCATAGAAATTTGTCCAAATTATCGGGTATTTTTTTCTTTTGTGGGTCATCCTGACACATTTATTAGGTATTTTCACCGAAAAGTCCAAAATATCGGGTGTATTTTTTATTTATTAAGTATTTTCACATTTGTCCTAATTAACGGGTGTGTTTTTTTATTTATTTATTAAGTATTTTCACATTTGCACAAATTTACGGATGTGTTTTTTTTTGGCCCGTGTAGGTCATCCTGACACATTTATTAAAAAAAATTTGTCCAAATTATCGGATGTACTTTTTTGTCCTGTGTGGGTCATCCAGACAAATTTATTAAGTATTTTCACCGAAAAATTTATGGGTCTTTGTCCTAATGATAATATATAGTTATTAAGGAATGCATTACGTAGTGGAATAAGTGGAACTTCGTCCAAATATTAACGTGATGCATTAAATTTTCGCCCTGTAGTACAAAGTGGGTCGTTGTGACCCAGTTAGCGTGATGACCCACTTTAGCGTGACCCACTTTATGCCCTAAAGAATAAGTGGGTTTGTCCTAATGATGATATACACGTTTAGGAAATGCATTACGTAGTGAAATAAGTGGAACTTCGTCCAAATATTAACGTGATGCATTAAATTTTCGCCCTGTAGTATGAAGTGGGTCGTTGTGACCCACTTCGTGCCCCATGACTCACCAGGCGCAGGAAAGTCTTGCCAATGAGACGCGGTGTCTCCGCGTTGTACCTCAGCCCCTCGATGAGGACACTGAGGCGGGGGAGGCGGGGGAGGCGGGGGACATCAGTCATTCATTGTTGATTAATATAATGATAAATTCATTAGATAATACAATGTGAATGAATACGTAATGAAGGATGAATGAGAGCAGTCTCATTCATCCGTCTTTTTCCTCTCTTGTTATGACTTAACGTCCCGTGTTTCCCTGAGGAGGGGTTTCATGGGGCTGTAACCCCCTTTACTACCCCATACCTCACTTCTCATACCCACCCTCACTTCCAACGTAACCTAACCTCCATTTAGACCCCAAACCCTCACTCCCAACCTCACCTAACCCCCAATTACACCCCAACCCTCACTTACAACGTCACCTAACCCCCTTATACACCCCCACGTCCCCTCACTTCTTATGGAAGTCGGGGAAGAAGTTGAAGTTGCCGAACAAAATGTCCCTGGCGTCGGTGACATGGCGGGGGGTGGTGGGCAGGTCCAGGTGGTGGTAGTAGCGCCATCACCTAACCCCCATTTAGCCCCCACCCCTTACTTCCAACGTAACCCAACCCCCTTATGCACCCCNAGGGTTAAAAGTAATAGAAATGGGTAATAATGATGGTAACAAGGGTCGCGGTTAATAATTAGGGTTAAAAGTAATAGAAATGGGTAATAATGATGGGTAACAAGCATCGCGGTTAGTAATTAGGGTTAAAGTTAGTGTAAAGTGTTAATAATGATGCGTAAATCTCAGTCGTGTCATAAGCACCCAAAATTTTCCATGCCCTAACAAAATTTGGGTGCAGCCTAGGATTCGGCCGAAGATTTGTTATGATGGCTTAACTTTATTCATGGTCTGCTCTGCCACCCATCGAAATCAACTTCTGGTCAAAGTTTCTTTTCCGACTTTATAGTCGCCTGAGTATTGGACAAGTGTGTCATGAGAGTATGACAAGTGTGTCTTGAGCGTGTGATAAATGCTGGCCAAGAAAAGTCATGCAGAGCTTGCACGCTGCTCAGAGGCTGCACTTCGAGCCCGGCCGAGGCGCATATTAGCGGCTGATTTACGCGCTCCCCGAGCCCTGGGCGGCGCCTGATGCAGAGTCGGACCGCCTCTAAATTTTTGCTAGCTCCCAGTGAAAATTTACAGACGCGGCAGCTTCTGATTTGGATTACCAGAAGCTGGGGCGACTCTAAATTTTGTCAGGGTCCATACCCAGTGAAAATTTACAGACGCGGCAGCTTCTGATTTGGATTACCAGAAGCTAAAGCGCCTTTAAATTTTAGCCTCGGTCTTTCCTCGTTCTCATTTTCTTTGCCGTATTTCTTTAGTATTTCTGGCGTATTTCTCAGTATATTTTTGCCGTATTTCTCATTTTCTTTGCTGCCTCTAAATTTTTACTGTGACACACCGTAGAATTTCGGATAAGGGTGGTCTCTGATATGCGCTGTGAGAGAACGTAGACTTTGCGGTCTCTGATATGCGCTGTGAGAGAACGTAGACTTTGCGGTCTCTGATATGCGCTGTGAGAGAACGTAGACTTTCGAGCATGGCTAGAGAAGCTGAAGCGACTCTAAATTTTATTAGGGAGGGTTCTTCACCTGCGTTTAGTCATATACAATAGGCGCACCTCGAGCTCGGCCGTAGCGGACATTAGCGGCTGATTTACGCGCTCCCCGAGTCCTGGGCGGCACCTGATGCAGAGTCGGACCGCCTCTAAATTTTTGCTAGCTCCCAGTGAAAATTTACAGACGCAGCAGCTTCTGATTTGGATTACCAGAAGCTGAAGCGCCTCTAAACTTTAGCCTCGGTCTTTCCTCATTCTCATTTTCTTTGCCGTATTTCTTTAGTATTTCTGCCGTATTACTCAGTATTTTTTTGCCGTATTTCTCATTTCCTTTGCCGTATTCTTTAGTATTTCTGTCGTATTTCTCAGTATTTTTTGGCCGTATTTCTCATTTTCTTTGCCGACTCTAAATTTTTGCTAGGGTACCTCACCTCCTCTTGGCTCGGGCTTCGTCCTCGGCGCTGCTCCGTTTTTTCTTCGGTCGAAAATTTCGAATTTCGGCGAGCATGGCCGAGCGGAGGGCGTCGCCCCCCGTGGGGGGCATCGCCTCCCCCTCCTCTTGGTCCTCAGCGGGACGCTTTGGTGTGGCAGTGGGGCCCGCCGGGGGGGCTGGAAAATTTAATAATATTTTTCAATATGATTATTTTTAAATGGCGTACTTAACCAAACGATTTATCTATATACTTCATTAATGGTACATTTACCCATTAATATTTTAATCTACATATATCATTTTTGAAGGGTATATTCAACGATAACAATGGTTTCGGTTTTGTTTTCTTCATAATTTTCAAAAGAAGTTTATCGTTTTTCACAGTATTAACAACACATATATTAAGATTTATATTAAAGTAAAATATTTAATATCATGATGTGCTGTTTATGCAAAGGATATTATTGATAATTATTAATTCCTCTAATTTTACAATTGATAATAATTATTGTCCAATATTATGGAGGGGATTGGAACTGCTACAATAT